CTTCGCTAGAAGCATTACCGTACGAGTATTTTCGCAGATACTTGCCTATCTTTTTCCTGAAGACCTCTGCTCCCAGATAGTTTTCTACCATTCTTATCAACGAAGCCGACTTTGAATACGAAATCGCGTCAAATATTTGGTTGATTTCACTGGGGTGGTAGACAGGAACCTTGATGGGATGAGATGAATCGAGTGTATCAAATTCCATTCCTCTGTTCAAGTCATCACTGATGAATGATACCCAGGGCTCCCAATCAATGAGCAATTCGTTCGTGTTTGTGGGATTTACAATGTTGGGATCATTCTTTTGCTTCTCCCTAATTGCATTACAGCCAAGTGCGGCTGCCCAGGTGGCGAACCCTTCGTTAAGCCACAAATCGTCCCACCACTTTGGTGTTACCAGGTTTCCAAACCACTGATGCGCTATTTCATGCGCCACTGTTTCAGTGATCAGCCTACGCTGCGTCATGCTTGACTTGTCCTTGTTAAACAGCAGGTTTGCCTCGTTGTATGTGATTAACCCCAGTTCTTCATGGCTCCCATTGAAAATTCTGGCACTGCCACCATGTCAAGCTTGTCCAGCGGGTATTCAATCCCAAAGTACTCTTCAAAAAACTGCAGCACCTGGTCGGCAACATGTAATGCATACATTCCCTGGTCCACATCGTAGGTCGAATAGACCGAAACACGACCCTTCGTAATTTTCTGCAAATCGCCAACCACAAACGCAATCAAGTACGTGCTGGTCCTCTTCATCCTGTTGAAGGTGACCGTTTTTCTGGTGCCTTTGATCACTTCGTCCTTTGCGCTCATATTCGATAGGATGGTAAAATCCTTATCAGCAGTAATTTCGATGTCAAATGTGGCTTTCGTTGCTGGATGATCAAAGCACGGGAACGCTTTTCGAGCATCCGTTGGCTCGAAATGGGTGGAATACATCTTCTGGTCTGTCCCGTACTCTGACGAATAGAAGCCCTCCATTTTCGTGGTCACTCGGCCATTAAAAGTGATTGGCAGCCTGTTTTCATTC